TGGAGGAGGGGGCACAGGGGGGAGAGAAGGGCTGGCGGAGGGGGGGCAGGTCTCAGGAGGGCTGAGGGCAGTGAGAAGGGCAGGAGTCAGGACAGCAGAGGAGGGTGAGGGGTTGGGGGGCAGCAGGCACCAGGGGAGCTGATGGAGCATGGGGAGGAGACATGGCAGCAAAGGGAAAAGGTAGACATTTATAAGATATTTATTAATAACTTGGGTAATATTTATTAATAACGTATTAGTAATTGCTGTTCTTATTCTTATTAGGAATTTATGCCATTTAAAAAAACACTTTTTTGGGGGGGAGGGTGGCAAGTTCCTTTTTTGTCTGGCGAGCAGGGTTTTCCATAATTTGTCAAGCCCTGAATATGGTAACCCTATTTATACCCATCTTTCTCCCATTGTGGGCACCAGAACTGGACACAATATTTCAGCAGAGGTAAAATGACCTTTCTGTGCCACTTGGAGAGCCCCCATTAGCTCTTTTGGCCACAGCCTCGCAGTGGGAGCTCACGGCCGGGTAATTAAATAATTACAAGGAGAGCATCTAGTGCCGGCCGCTCTGGGGTTTAACATACCGTGTCTGTCAATCAGTGAGAGTTCTTTGGGGCAGGGCTGGTCTGTTGCCACGTATCTGGGCCCCAAGCTCTACCCCCAACTGGGTTTGGCCACAGACCAAATCAGAACAAGCTGCGTGGTTAGGTGTGGCCGGCAGGCTGGATGTGCTCAGGTGTGTCCCTGCCAGCGAGGTGGCAGCCGGCCATGAGTCTCCCCCAGTGGCCAGGCAGATGCCACTATGGCAGGGTACTGAGTACAGGCCCCATTTCCATTCCAATGCATCTGGGCCGTTTCCATGCCAACACATCTGAGCAGAGCGGTTTCCATGCCAACGCACCTGACTAGGGGGGCTGTTCCCATGTCAACGCGCCTGACCCGGCCCTTCCCATTTCAACACACCAGGGCCATTTCCATGCCAACACACCTGACATGGGCCGTTTCCATGCCAACGCACCTGACTAGGGGGACCGTTCCCATGCCAACGCACCTGACATGGGCCGTTTCCATGCCAACGCACCTGACTAGGGGGACCGTTTCCATGCCAACGCACCTGACCCAGCCCTTCCCATTCCAACACACCTGACTAGGGGGGCCGTTTCCATGCCAACGCACCTGACTGGGGGGCCGTTTCCATGACAACACACCTGACGTGGGCTGTTCCCATGCCAACACACCTGACCCAGCCCTTCCCATTCCAACACACCTGACTAGGGGGGCCGTTTCCATGCCAACGCACCTGACTGGGGGGCCGTTTCCATGACAACACTACACACCTGACCCGGCCCTTCCCATGCCAACACACCAGGGCCGTTTCCATGCCAACGCGGCGGCCCCGGCCTGCTCTAGGCCCTCACCTAATATCCGGATGATCCCCAGAGTGAGTCTGTCCAGAGAGGGCTTGAGGCTGCTGTAGGGCTTATCCTCCATCCTCGGCCCGCCCCTTGCCCAGCTCAACCCCGACACAGGGAAGGGGGGAAATGAAATAGCTTTTGTCCCCGCTCGCGCCCCGTAGCGGAGGCTGCGCAGCGAGGAACTCTGGGAGCTGTAGTTTCCTCCCTCGGTGACGGCCGGGCTGCTGGGAGAGGTGCCTCATGGGATTTGTAGTTCGATCCGAGCTGCTTTCTCTGGCCCGGACCGTAGGGAGAAAGACAACTCCCAGAATGCATCGCTCT